CAGCCAAACGTCGAGTTTCATTTCACATTGACGAATAAGCGACGACGCGTTCCTTTGTTATTATCGTGGGTCCGATAAAGCAAGTAAATTAATTCAATAACATTTTCACCCTTGATCAAGGGGCGGAAAATATATTTTGGAGAATAAACGGTCGAAAATTAAACCTGGATTATATCGACGAAGATTAATAAATTCGTTTATGGACAGATTCGATGTCTTGTAATTTTCGAAAGCGGCGAATCGTGATTAAAACGATATTTCTTTCGTGGAGATGAAACTATGGTAACACCTTCGAACGTGTATCATCGCGGATTATCATAGAAATAGTTCAAGGTCCATTATCTTTCTCGATGAATAAAGAATCCATTAAAAATTGTTGCACGCAATATCGCAAAACAAACAGGAAAAAAGAAAGAAAAACATTTGATCAGAAATAAAACTCGATATTTTCCGATTTTTCAAAAAGAAAAAAAAAAAGAAAAATAAAACGACCATTCACGCCCACTTTTATGCTTTTTAAAACTTGCAGCCATTCACTTTTGTTTATACCACTCGAACATGTTCCATCTTTAATTCTACTTCTGTTTCAGCTTGCTAGATGAGAATCATAAGCTAGGGACCCAGTGGCAACTTTGAAAGTTCACGATTCATTAAAACATCCCATAACTTATTACACGTTAACACTTCCTAAATTACGACTTTCGTCTCAAAGCGTTTAATAATCCTAAAATGAAGCGCCTCAGCCTCGATCGTAAAATTAGTCGCTTATCACTTAACCCCCCATCGTCGATCTTGACGACTTTCCACCCGATCATGATGAAGTTACCGGCACGAAAGGGAAAACTCCTAGGCCTAATACGGGATAAAATCCTCTCCTGCGCCTTTCTCGCGTGGATCTCGAGTCAAAGGAATTTGATCGAAGCTCAAATCGACTCAATCAGGAGGACGATTTATATTTATCACATGGTATGCTTGTGTTTTAAATACAAGGCGCGAAACTTATTTTTTATCTTCTGCCAAAAATTAATCATTTTCGATCCAAAGGGAATTGGAAATTCAATTCAAGGAGAGGGGAGCGGAGGAAAACAACTCGAGTCCCGAATAGGGATGAATTATTCACGCTACCTATTGGGTTCATCGGACCCAATAGACAGGTTTCTAAGTTATTTTAAGAGTGATGCGATTCTTCGCGAAGCGAAAACGGTATCGAGGAATTTCTCGTCCTCCAGGTATTTCAGTTACAGCTCGAACTGAGAACGATCGAATGAGAAGCGGGCGCGTTCGAAATTTTATTTCATCGCAATTCCAAACGATCGTTCTCTCGCTATTGCCAAGCTTTTTTTTTGATTTGCGATAAGCTGCACCATCCTGTTTTTTCCAGGATGCGAATATTTTTTATGGATTTGAAAAAGATCATTTGGAGAGAGAACAGGTTTGAACGATATTCTAGGAAATAATTAGCATGCCAGGCTAAATCTCTTTTAAATTGAAGATTATTGTGCATTCCTCTTTCCAAAACTTTGTCTTAAGTCTAACGAGAAATATTTGTTGCAATGAAAAAATCAATTACAAATGAAAATCAATCAAAATGAGCAAAAGAGTAACTTATAGGAAAAAATATCGAAATTATTCTATTAATTTCCAGAAAAATAAGCAATTGAAATAAGCAATCGGCAATAATAAAGACTCATAAATTTCGCAATTAATCCTTATATCGCGATCAACGACTCGACGAAGCCAATCATGCATACGATTTAATTGAAATTTCATTATAACTAATCATTTATCAGAGGATGTTTGAAATCTCGCGTTCAATCACGTGTTCGAAACGAGATTTCTCACCCTCTCGATTAATCAATTCGTTTAACAGAAAATTTTGTTAAAAATTTCTCGCGTCTCCCGGAGAAATTGATTATATCGCGATACACATCGGCAAACGAATCTCGTTTATTTATCGTCCATCAGTTTGAAACATTCATCAACGCGCATCTACCGATCCTATCGAACCGGAAGAACCTTCCTCTAAACCGTAAATCATCGCCTCGTGTCTTCGAGTGATACACGTACGCGATCGGTCGTGTCGAGGAGAGCACGCAAGAAAAGGAAATCCAGGTCTCTCTCTCTCTCTTTCTCTCTCTCAAAGTGAATAGTTCGATGTTTGTCGACGAAATCCACCTTTCCACGAAGAAAACAAGTCGCCTCGATTTCGGTCGTTGCCTCTGTTCCAGAACGAGGAGAACTTTCCTCGTCATCGAAGATTCTCTTCTCTGACATTCCACATCCGTCCTCCTTGGCGTAGCTACAGGGTTTAAAATCTCAAAGGTCGATTTTATTGGGGAGGAAAAAATAAAAAAGAAGGAAGGGGAGGTAAGAAGGTAAAAGGGATACTAACGAGACTCAAAAGGAAAGAAGAGAAACAGAAAGAAAGAAAGAGAGAAAAAAATAGAAATGGGGCGAAGATAATAAGATTTTGATTTGTATGTAATACTGAAATCATTAACAATGGATACAAACTTTTGAAGAAAAGAAGACAACTTTTTGCAAGAATATATATTTCCAAAAAGGAATGCACTCGTTTGATGAAAATTTTTCTCATTTGGTTAAAAATTTTAAATATCATCGGATTTAAAGAAAAAAAAAAAAGAAACGAAGAAAAGGATATTCTCTGTTAACAAGAGACGAAAAAAAAAAAGAGACAACGTAACAAAGAGACGAAACGAAAAAAAATGAAAGAATATAAACGAAAAAATACGTTCTCTCTCTTTGTATCAATTTTTAAAATAAACACGGGGAAGAAGAGATACTGGCATAACTCTGGGTGTAAAAAAGTAGCAGGAAACGAGATGATCCGAGGTGATCCGTCCAACGGCAAACGTAAAATTGGAAAACTTTGGACGAGCTGGTAGAATTGAATGGCCGTGCGGCGTCGTTCGACTCCGTGCTTGCATCAACCTATCCTCTACCGTTGCATCCTACCTAATACCTCCCCGCCTGGAAAGTAACTTGAATCTCATCAAAGTTGTGCGTGCAAACATTGACCCCTCTGTATCTCAGGTGCATCGATACCGTGGTAACTACCTCCTGTGTCTGACATACCCAGGGGATGCGAATACCCAGACAGCTCGAATAGCTTTAAGCTCGAATTTTTTCCCGTTGAGGAAGAATTTATCGAAATAGAAACTTTAAAAATAAAATTAATCTCGAGTTGGAGTTTATGAATGAGTTGCGGTCGGAGACACGGTTCACGTTCCACCCACGTACAGATTGAAGTTTGATTAGTTTGTCTAGCGTATAAATACAGTAGTGACTGAATCAACAAAATTCAAAATGTGAAACTGAATTCTCAACCAACCTCAAACCAAAGTTTCTCGATGGCTTCCAATACTGATTATATTTTGAAAAATTCGATGTACCGATTACAGTATGTAAATATAAGAGAAAGAAAGAGAGAATATTTGGATATATTACCTTAAAAAACTGTGGTTGAATTGTTGACAAAATATTTCGAGAAAAGCGAAGAAGACGATATACTTCTTCCTTATCGGTCTTTTTCGATAAATGACACGTTTATTTGCATGAAAATGTTGGTAATATTTTCTCTGGTCCCTTCTACGAAGTAGATGTGTATCTCTCATCTAAATTCTAAGTAAACAACCGCTATATATCCCCGATACTTCTTCAGGATTCCTTTGAATATGTAATTTCGCGAATCGAAGTATGTATTTTTTATAGAGGAAATCTGTTCCAGCGATAAAATTTTGTAAAAGAGATTGAAAACTGGTTGAAAAAAAAAAGAAAGAAAGAAGCGGATGATGTTGTAAGGTATATTACCAAAACGAGTAAAAGGATGGAATGGAGGTGGAATGGAAAAAAGCGAGACACCTTTATCTTTTCACGATATTAATGCCAACACGACATTATATACAATCTCTAGTTAAAGCAGCGTTGCTGCGTGAGTGGAGGAGGATTAAAAACTCCAATAATAATAATTCACATAATGGATCTTAAATAAACGTTAATGAAATAACCAAGAAGTCCATAAACATAGTTCATTAAACGTATAACAGAAATTCTCCACGAGCAAAGTCAAAATAAAATTTAATTATCCTCCCATTCTCTCTTCTATCTCTCCCCCTCCCCCTCCTCAAAAAAACAAAAGACTTCGCAATCATATTTCCCCTTCCAATCTCCTTCCAATATATTCATTTTCTCCATCGAACGAACACAAGTTTCAATAATATTTGATCTTTAATTTTTTCACGATTAAGATTAAAATCGAACGAAATTCACTCAAATCACTCGATAATCGGATATTTCTCCTTCCCAATCGCAGCAGAATCATCGAAAGGATAGATTTCCCGCGTCTGCGGTGATTTTCATTCTTGATTTCCACGAGGAAAATCGTGGAACGAATCTAATTACCCAACGACTCGATAATCAATCACATTTCCAATTTATTGCCTCTTCGTCAAAGTACGGATACGCTCGTCAAAGTAACCACCTGCCAGTTGCACAGCCGCATGTACAAAATCCTAAATATCCCCCACACCTTCTCGGCAAACACTCGTAATTACCGTTCACACGCGATACAAAGCGCCTCAGTCGATGGTCCACAGGTTATATTCGGGCTGATTATATATCCTCGCATAAGATGGGAGCAGAAGCGTTGACCCCTACTACTAGCTCAGGTGCAGCATCAGGTGCTGTTGTGGTAGGGGTAATCAGGTGCGCGTACAAGAGAGAGGGAGACAGACACAAGCTTACGGAGGAGAGAGCGGAGGGTGGAAGAAGAGAGAGAGAGAGAGAGAGAGCAGCTAGCGCGGCTGCAGTCTAAAATACGTTGGGCCATTAGGTGGGGGTGTGCAGGTGGAAGAGAAGGTCGGAAGGTTACCAGAGCGCAGACGCCGACTAAAAGCATCGAGGATAGTACCCGGCACCGTAGCGGAGTACCGGACAGAGCTAGCTCGTCCGTAACGGTGTGTTCGTCTTGGCAACGGATCCGGTCTTTATCCAGAGCGCACGAGCCACGTTCACCTGCTTCACCCCCCAAAACGGAATCGAAATCGAACGCGCGATCCTCGGCAAACGCAACAACAGTTGTTACTGGTCGCGAGCGATCAACGTCAACCGGCCGAGTCGAACCACTTTTGGAGTTCGCGAGTTACCGGCTGATCAACGAGGGACCGCTTTCCCGCGCTCCCGCAACCCGATTCGATTCTCACCTGTTAACCGAGCCGTCGCGCTCCTCTTCTCTTTTCGAAGTGTTCAGGTAAGTTTCAACATTCCACGATGTGAAAAACTTTTGGAAAACTTTTCGGGCATGATTTCTTTCGGCTATGATTGTGTTAAGCTAGGTTAACGACGACGCGCGAGTTGCAATGAAATTCGAAGATTTTTGAAAGTGATACGAGAACTTGTTATATCATATTTCATTATTTTTATCTCGTATTTTCTTTTTTTTTCGATTAATTCGTAAATTTTAAACGCGATATTCTTTTTTAAGGTTTATCGATTAGGTTTATCGATCGTGTACAGGTTTATAGTTCGTGTTAGTTTTGAAAAAGATATATAACGAGGAAAAGTCGGCGAATGTTCACAAGTCTCGTCACGATGTCAGAGACAATAGTCTACGGGCCCTTTTTAGTATTCCCTCCTAGTTCTTTAATTCATCACTCCGCTCGACCGAAAGTGGTACCAAAATACATACACCCGCATAGGGAGTCAGTGAAAACACAATGTCTAGTGGCCGGCCGTTGAAAACTTTCTCAAACTCCGGGCAATTACAATTGAACAACAATATTCCTTTGTGAAATATTAACCGGTAACCATTGTCTACGCCCAGGAAACTTCAATGAATCTTAAGGAAACGACTCCCATTTGAATCGCTCTATCGCAGGAATACAGAAGCACAACAGTTTCTAGTAAAATAATTAATTTCCATAATACCGTGCCTAGTTATTCGATTACTTTCGCGCGAGGAGCGTTAGTTTTATACTTTGAGGTATGCCTGATGTGGATTATTAATGGTATTGCACCCGAGATATTTTCTCGTTGCGTGTTACTCGCCGCAACCCCCGAGCGTAACTTTTCTTAATCTTCCCACGCAGACTTTCAGACGAGCACAAATTGTATTCGAGTGTGAAATTGGCTATGCATCTGAATTTCAATTACGTTTTAACGAACGATTTCTGTATTCTGTCTGTCTGAGATAGAATGAGAAAGGTTAAGATGCGGTACTTCCATCGACGGTTCAAACAATTTTCGAAACAATTTCTTCTTCGTCCCCTTTCGCAGGGGACTCGTTTCGAATTCCTTCTACTTATTTCCCTGGTCGGGAAAAGAGCGTAATTGAACAACGAAGGAAAGACAGGAGACTTTTATGTAACGAGGGACGAAATTAATGTACGGCGAGACAGTCGGTAAACACCTTTCCGCTCCGCCTTAAAGTGTGTTTACAAGTACCCCAGTGGGGTAGGACGAGATATGCTAATGCGACATTATATGCTCTGTGTTATTTTAAGAATGATTCAAATTCCGTTTATCGTCCACAAGGCGATGCGAATTTTCATCTTTAATTAAACTCATTGCACGATACCCTCCGAATAAAGGAGCAGTTGGTGTCGTTGTTGTTTAATAGCCACAATTTTCCACGTTATTACGGTATCTGGTTTTCTGGAAATTTCTTGAGGAGAATATATAATAACAAATCTTTAATTTTATGGTAAATAAAAGGGAAAATCAACAATCAATAAATTTCAATATTGAAATATAAATTAATAACCAATTGGATTTGATAAAATTTTGAATTCTTGAATCAAACAATGTTTAGATATTAAGTGTTAAAAGTGTATTTTTTTTTTTCAATCTTCTGAAATCTTATTTTCTCTTTCTTCGAGGACAAAAGGATATTATATACGTGCCAGTTTTTCGATACATTTCCTCGTTTATGTTTCCTCATTTCTCTCCAGCATTATCTAAACTATTCACTTTATCAAACTATTCCGTCAGGTGTCGTAAATGATGCGGTAGATTGCGCCATTTACGAAAATCCTTTCGTACTATGTACTTCGGTATTGTCCTCGGTATAGTCTTCGCAAATGGATTGGCTCGTACGCGTGCTACTTTCAACGCTGCGTATCTCGGCTATCGTCGATTCGATTTCGTGCAGGGGATTCATCCCTTCTTTATTTTCGAACCAAGATATAGGAACAAGGGGATAGGGGTTTATACAACAAGCTCTGTATTTTCGGTCAATCGAAATCCTGGCAGAAAAGATTTACACTTTCTACGTTATTTTTTCGAAAGTAATTTCCTGTTTCAATTTTAATTCATCCATATTTTCATATTTGGATAATTGTAGAAAAAATTAGGTATCTTTATGGGTTCATGGTTTTGTAAATTTTGTCACGAAATAATTACATTTTAGTTGATGATTCACGAGAAGTGCGCCTTATGTTGCAAAAAAAAAAAAAACTTTCGAAATAACAAGACGTATCATGGGAACAAGTTCAATCGACTAATCTTCTGCAACTGCTCCATCTTACGATTAACTCACTATTTCTTATCGAATCTCCAAAGATGTTTTATTAACTTTTTCTCGAATATTCGAAGGGAAAGTATTTTAATTAAGAATTATATTCCAAAGAATTATATTCAACCTGTTGTTTCCAAACGAAGAATTCCTCTGGATATAAAATTGCAAGGCGAAGGAATATAAAGATCTGTTGTCTTTCTTTGTTGGAGTGCAAACATTCGTTTTAAGAGCATCATCAATGTAAATTTACCGGATAATCTTGAATTCGCGTGTGCGAAAAGGGAATTATTTGCAAAAGATATCTCCAACCGTTACGAACGAGAATGATTTTAAAATTAATAATTCAATTCAAAAGATTTATTCACGGACGATCGAACACTTTGATCGAAAACTTTAAAATTATTCTATTTTCTATTATGCTTTTCGTAGCATCATCCCTTTCTAAATTTAAATAATGATCGATTTGTGTGAAGAAATTTTGAAATTTCATCAAACTGTCAATAAACAATTCAACAAAAGCAACTATATACATATATATAAAAAAAAAAAAATAGACTCGTGGAAAATTTTCACTATCATCGTTCTACCGTTACTATCGCCGGAAACAAGTTTCTCGAGGACGACGTATAAAACAAGACACGAGATAACACGTTTCACGGGTTTCTTATTCTAATTATATTTATTCCACCACACTTCGAAGCTTTCTAACAACGTCGGCAATTAAAACTTATTTCGAAATTAAGCAATAAAAAAGGAAAAAAATCTTCCATTACCTCTGTATCCTATTCACGTTTCGTCTCGAAACCACAACATACGTCATTGTTGTTCATTTTTCCCTCGCCACAAATTAATTGATCCTCGATTTAACTCGTTCGCCCACGCCACGTATATTCCCACTCGTCAACTTTTCCTCTGGAAAACGCGGCTTGTTTCCACTCGGTTCCGCAATTGTGTATTTTCCCACGATGTAACGACGGTCTGGACTGAATAACTGTAGGCCCAGCTGGGGGCGAGATGATCTCGCGTCATTTGAGTTTGCGAGAGAACGCGTTGAACATGTTTTCATCGTGATTACGATTTATCATTGTTGTACCAATGGTCATCTTCATCTTTCCACTGTATAATTCGAAGGGTATAGAGTTGATAATGAATTGAACAATTTAATTTTCAGTACACTGCTTTAGATAAATATATTTATTTGATGGTATTATGAATAAAAATTTTTAGAAACTTAGTTTCGAAAGAAAAATAATTATAGTATCTGAAATCTTTTGAATATTTCTTAATTGGTTCTTAAAGATGTTAAAAATTGGTCTGAAAGAAATTTTTCTTAATCCTTTTTATATTTTCAATTGTTAAAACTTGTTACTTTATGTGGCAAATTTTATAAAATTTCGCAATAGAATAATTGGTTGTCGCCGGCTTGAAATAACACAATAGATAAAATTTCCTTTATCATTTGCCTGGTTTCATTTAAAAAACCAACGATAATAATTTTAATAATTTCGTTCGTAAAGAGCTTAATAATAAATCGATTCCTTACAACTACAAACCAGAATTTGTCGGATTGAATCTTCGGTTACAATACAACATTAATGCAACAACAATGCGAGATTTAACATTTCTATTCTCGATATTCAATTGTATCTATTGTAAACATATGAACAATCGTAATACGTAATCTTTTAGGATAAGCGTATTAATTGAATCCAATGACAAATTCACGGCTCTCCGTGGGACATCTGTTGCATTCGAGGCAATACACGATGCTCTATAACGATCACGGTAAATTGTAACGAGGTTTAGGTCGGGATCCGTTAATGTCATTCTATTACATATCTCATTCCAGCCAATATTACACGATGATCGTTTCGGCAAATTGCATTTCCAACAAGCCGAGGTGACAAACGATAAATGTTACATACCGTTGGTCAATTCGTATCGAACGTGCAGAATTAATGAGGAGAGGGATTCACGTAAATGTATCTCTGATTTTAATCGAAATATTTTAATATATTTATGTATAAATAAAAAATAAAAAATTTTAAATATTAACTTTCAAGGTTCGAGTTTCGACAATTTAAATTGAAAATTAATATTTTTATCACTTTTTGTTTGCTATCACTTATTCAAAATACATCTATATATATATTTATATGAAATGAAAAACAAACAAACGATAGAACGTTTTGATTTTATGGTAAAATACAAACGTTCCAATTGATCCATATCTTTGCATGCCATATCATCATTAAGATCGCTATCTTTATTAATACACCGGTGAGAAACCTTTATTTAGCAAGGCTGCCATATCTTCTCAAAAGACAAATTCGTATCATCCTACATCCATTTTTCCACCAGGGAGTCTGATCAATTATTCATTTCTTATTTTTTTAAAATAACACCGCAGGGAAAGAAGGATTTAAAATAAGATCTCAGGTGAATCACCTGCAATTTCTAAGAAAAAAAAAAAGAAAAAAAAGAAACTTCATTCTTTATTAATCCTACTTTTTCGAAACATATCATGAAATCTGATCTGTGTTTTCGCTTCGTATCGCGAGATACACGAGGAAATTTTAACAATCACAATGCCAATTCGAATAGATAGATTTAGAACGGTATTAATTGTCTCGATTGTCAGTCTGGAATAACAAAGTCGATGAAACACGGCTCGTTGGAGACGCCGTCGTCGAGAAACAATCGTGAGAGCGACTCGTCGGTTGAACGACGCCTTT